AAAAAAAAAAAAAAAAGGTAAGAGCTGTCATCTTGTTTTATAGATACGTGACAGTTTGGGCTCGGGTAGTGTATGCGCTCCTTCCCGTGGCTTTTTTGATCTCAGAAATCGAATTTTTCGTTAGTTACATGTGTAAGAATCTCTTGACTTGTACACTCGGGAAACTTTCAGCCCAGAACGTAAGGCTACATGTGATGAGTTTCGGCTCAGTTGTGGGTAATAATTCACACAGCGGTTGAAAAGCACTTTGCAAAATAGAAAATGCTTCTATATGTGTGCTAAATAATGATCTTCGCTGAGAAGTCGCTCTTGAAGTGAGTTCTCCCGCAAACCCCTCGTGAGAGACCTCCTTCTCCTTCTCCAGTAGAGCCTTAATGGAGAAGTTGCTCTCTTTTTTTTCCATCGGGGCACCAAATGGAGTAGGAAGCAAAGTTCCTTGGTCACACCTGCCAGCCTGTGCTGTGCTACCTCTAGTCCCACCCCATTAATGGTGACGACTGGGCTCACGCTCCAAAAACAAGAGGCGCCAAGTCCTGAGCCACGTTCTTTCCTCCAGCTCTCCCAGCGGCCACCCTGCTGCCTGCCTTCCGCCCCTTCACACCTCAAAGTAGGCAGCCAGTTACCAGCGGTGCCCCACCTTGCGTTCTTCCTGAATGTTCCAAGACCCCCGTGCTCCCCTAGGCTTCCTGAATTTTGGACCCTGTCATCAGTTGACCTGTTGCATCCACTTCCTTTTCCCCAGAGCCCATGTCTTCAGCTTCCGCCCCTTCCTCTCCTGCTGCCCTTGTGTCTGGGGGGACTTTGACTGCATTTGACTCTCACCTGAAGGAAACTTGTTCTGAGGATTCAAGGCTTAGTTTAAAAAACAACAACAAACTTGAGGTGGGACCTCGTTCGATGGCCTTGGAATACCATCTATTATTCTCTAGTAAAAGGACCAAAGGCCCAGAAGTCTGTTGTGGATTTTCATCTAGTTTCTCAAATTATTTTTTGTTTATTTGACTCATTTTTCTCTGAATGGATAATTCATTCACAAGGTTCAAAGTGTTTAGAGGTTCGGAGAAGAAAGCTTCCCTTCCACTGCCTGGAGGCCATCAGTGGGATCTCTTTCTTCTATCACCTTCTACATTTTTATCTTACAACTTTTTTTTTTTTTTTTAAGTTTATTTGAGAGAGAGCATGTGCACGAGCAGGGGAGGGGCAGAGAGAGAGGGAGACAGAGAATCCCAAGCAGTCTCCACCTGGTCAGCATGGAGCTGGATGCAGGGCTCGATCCCACAAACTGTGAGATGGTGACCTGAGCCAAAACCGAGGACTTGCCTGATGGAGCCACCCAGGTGCCCCTTTATCTTACAGCTTTTAAAGCAGAATTTTAAATAGTTTTTGTTACTGAAATATATGTAGCATCCCGGAGGTAATTAAGTGAAAGAACCAAAAAGAGACCACATGGACCTTCCTCGCCCCTACTTCTGGGTCCTTGTCCTCATTCAGAAAGAATCTTAATCAGTCTCGTAACTTTCAAACATCTCATTTACGGTGTTTGTGTCGGTGTCGGGTTTCCAAAACCCAGAGGTGACAGAGAGAAAGTTGGTGGGCAGAACTGGCGAGCCCGCTGGAGAATAACCCCAAGTTGGCACCCACTGCTCACACCCACCCTGCTCCTTGTAGAAATACCTGCTCCCCCTCATCGTGGGTGGCCGAGAGGACAGGAAGCACCTGGAGAGGATGGGGGCAAGTCTCTCGGAGCTGAGTGGCAGCGTGGCACAGACAGGTAAAGATTAATGACTCCATCAAGTCGCCCCTCCAAGCCTTCCCGAGCAGCCCCTTCTCGCCCCGCCCCTCCCCCTCGCCTCCACTTTATGTGGTGACTTCATTTATCTGCTCTGAGAATCTGTTCACATTTGCAAATGAAGCCGCCGTCATTTCGGTTTAATTTGAAATTGCTTGTTTACTGTCGGCGCGGCCTCAATTAATTATGTTTTTACGGAAAGGCTCCCAACCTCAGAATATTAATAAGGGGAATAAAATGACAGCCTTTCTAAGGGCTGTAAAGTTCATTTTTAATTTCTGCTTCTGTGAGGTTTTCAGGGGGGTTTTCAGCGATTTTTTTCCCCCTTCCCTCTAAGAATCCAGCACAGGGTCAAGAGAGGCTGTAATTACTGCGGCTCCGGGGACCCCAGCCACCTCCTCTGTCATCGACTCCACAGGGCTGGCGTTCATTACCCGGTGCCCCAGTGATGGCCCAGATTAGCTGGGACCTGTCGCACCAGAGACGGCTTTTCCTCTTTATAAACTTGTTTACTAGACGGAGGCTCTGAATCTAAAAACTCAGGCAAGCGAGAGAGCCACTGTCCCAGGCAGGAGTCTGTCCCACTGGGGTGCACTTGCAGAGACCCCAGAAACGCTCTGGTGCATCTGGCCCTGGGAGGCTGACCCCAGGGCCCATGGCTGGGACACGGTTTGGTACCTCCGTGGCCCCGGGAGCTACGGCAGCCTCCGGGTTGGGTACGGAGGGCAGGAAGGAGTGTCAGGAAAGCGGGATTTGCGGTCTTCAACCGCGCCCGGTATCATATGGGTCTGAGATGCGTTTCTCCCAGCTTTGGAGAATCCGAGAACTGCACGGTGAGGGGCGTGAGATGAGGGACGCGGACGCAACCGAAGTCGGAAGAGCCAAGCAAATCATAAGCACATGTAATTGGAGGGGAGAGGTTTTGGACGGATATACTGTTGACCACGGACAAGTGCACAATAGAAAGATGGAGTGGAAATCCTAGAGGTTAGATACAGTGCAGGTAGATTGCCCGGAGTGCAGATAAATTATATGGATTGTGGGGTGGGGGATGACTGCAGATAAATTAGATGTGGCAGCTATAGGTGTGTGGACAGAGAAGGGAAGAATCTGTGTGTATCATTTAACAGCGATGTGACTGCTTTTTCCTCCCAGTGACTCAGTTACAGATGACTTTAGCCTCCGTCCAGGAGCTGCTGATTCAGCAGCAGCAGAAAGTCCAGGAGCTCGCCCACGAACTGGCCGCAGCCAAGGTACTTGTCCCTGACCCGCTCGGGTCCAGGTCTGCTCTGCTCGGTGCTCTGCTCATTTACAACGTTCCACGGGGTCTGACTTTGTTTTTCTCATGCCGGATACACAAGCAGGGGCCCACACAGTCCTCGCAGAGAAAGGAGGCGGCCACCGTCCCGTCTCTCCTGCTCCGTGTCCCCTCCTCGCAGGACGGAGGAGAGGCAGCTCTCTGCCTGCGGCCCCTCCTGTGGCAGCTCTCGCCCACGCTCTGGAGGTGGCCGGTGTAGACACAGGGTGGTCTCCGCTGGCACTTTAGGCCACGTTAGGCCACAGGTCACAGCATTTCAAGAGCGAGTCCAGGGAGCAGGGAAGTGGGGGAGTGTGCCAGGGCCCTGGGCGAAACCCTGCATCCACGGGCAGATTCTCTACACCCAGGTCTCGGGGAGTCAGGGAGCCCCTAACAGAGCGCCAGCTGGGGTTGCCCGGAGCTGTTTCCATGCCTTACTTCCCAAGTCTGGAGTAGTCTTGGCAATATCAGGTCCTGGGATGAGACCTTTTGGGTCAAAATCTGCTTCTGCTGCATGCCAGCCGCGTGAGCACAGGCAAGTTACTTAACCTCCCTGACTTACTTTCCTCATCTGTAAGATGGACCTGTAATGGCACCCCTTCACTGTCTGCACATGCTTAGAACAGTGCCCAGCTGCTGTCACCTCCCGGGATTGCAAGCTTCTGGCCCAGGCCTGTAGGTGCATGACAGGGTCATTCCCGAGGCACTTAGACTGAGCCCAGGGGACAGTGGTCCAGTGGCTCCAGGATGTCCACTGTCCTCCCCAGTCCATCCCCGTTCCTGTGCTGCTTTCTGGTTGCTTCCACGCAGCCCGTGCTGTAGAGGAACCTACTCTGAGTGGCTCTTCCAGGAGAAGCCCCAGCCGGTGCACAACCAGATGTGAGCCAGCACTCAAAGCTTTTGCGTTTGCAAAACGAAGTGAAACCGGAATCTTTCTATTTCTGATGGAATCTGGGGGTACCTCCTGTGAAGAGGGGTCCCCAAGAATCCCCTTTCCCCTTCTTGGTACCCCACACACGAGGTGCTGCCTGCACTTCCCCCGCAGATGCTGCGGTCGCCCACGGCCGCCTCTAGCTGCTGTGCGCACTCCCCGTGGGCTAGCGGCCCTTAAAGCAAGCGGGAAGCCTGTATTATGGCCCCCGCCCCACTCTCCTCTATTATCTTTGGAAGCGGTGGCCTGCCAATGGCCAGAAGCCATTCCGGAAATTGGAAAACTGTTTGCAGACCTGAAGCATTAAGATTAAGACCACATGTTGCATTTTAAGAGGGGAGGGGGCCCAGGATTGTGCTCGGTGGTTGAGCGCTGCCTCTGCGAGTTTCTTGTGCTTGCCTCCCTGCTGGTCCCGCCCCCCCCCCCCCCCCCCGCCCCCCCGCCTCCAGCCTTCATCCTCTCCTGTCCTGACGAGGGGCTCACTGGTGCTGTGTTGAAACCCAAAAGAGGGAAGACTTTGGTTACCCCATAAACCAGAGACTCAGAGCTGTGTTTTCTCAGCTGTAACGTAAGTTTTTATATCTGGCTTCCAAACTCCTACTGCAGCACTGTAAAAAATTAAAAAGAAGAGCGTTAAGTAATTAAAAAACCTACATAAAACTGAAGGCTGGGAGTTTTCTACAACTGTTTTTTAAAGAGACTGGCTAAAAAGCCCCAGATGTCAGATTTTATTTCTAAATCCTGGCATCTGGCACCATATGCGTTTGGAAATTTGAGTCCTTTGTAGGCCGGTGAGTGGAAATTGCTCCCTTGTTAATGGGCTGCTATGGCTTTCAAGGTCTCAGAGAAGCCAGAACAGTGGCTCCTGGATCTGCGCTGTCTGGTGGTCTGGAGCGAGGACCCCGAGGGGATGTGTGTGCGGGCGACTGGTGTTTGCAGTGGTTGCCTGCGCTCCTGCCGCCGAGACCTCGGCCCCTCCGAGGGGCTTTTCCCTGGAAAGGAGCGCTCGCCTGAGCAGGCCCAGAGCGGCCCCCACCCCAGGCTAGAAGCCCGCAGAAGGCTGGTGGGACCGTCCAGGGCCCCTCCCCGCTGCCAGCCCCGGTAGAGGTGTCAGGGAAGCCGGGGCCTTGCACGACTAACCAGTGCACTTGAAGCCACCTGGAGGTGGCGTCCAGCCTGGTGGATGCAGGCCCGCGCACCTGGGCCCATCATGCCTGGAATTGGCCCATAAACACTTCACAGGCCGCTTGGCCACCGGCGACTGCCATCTGGGGGGCCACCGTTTGGACTTTCCTCTTCTCTGTCTGTCTCAACAAGATTTGCCCAAGAAAGCTGTGGTTGTCTGAAGCTTATTTCGAAAATGGTCAAATCAAAGGGGAAAGGTACGCACGGAAAGATGGCATTTGTCCCTTTCTCCCTTTCTCCCGTGGACCCTCTTCGGGGAGAGAATCGGAGTTAAGTCCTAGAACAGCTTCTTTCCCTCTGCTGAGCCTTCAGAGTCATCCCCAAACACTGACTGTGGATGGACTGTGTGGCCTGCATGCTGTGGTAGCTTTGCACTTAGTGGGGTGCGGCCTGGGGGCCCGACCCCCCTGAGGAGGGAGACGCAGGCCTCCCAGCAGCACGGGAAGGTGCTCCGAGGCGAAGCCTGTCTTCCGGGCCTGCTTGAGATTGGAGCTGAGGGCCGGGCCAGGCGGGTGCCCAGCGGTCTCCCTGACCCCCTAGTACAGGCACGCCTCAGAGATACTGCGGGTCTGGTTCCAGACCACCATAGTGAAGCAATTATTGCAAGAAAGCGAGTCACGTTACTTTTTTGGTTCCTCGGTGCACGTGAAAGTTCTGTTTACGCTATACTTTATTAAGGATGTAGTAGCATTATGCCGAGGAAAACGTACCTACCTTAAATTTAAAAATACCTTATTGCTAAAAAATGCTGATCGTCATGTGAACTTTCAGCAAGAGTCCTATTCGCTGATCACAGATCCCCACAACGAATACAATAATAATGAAAAAGTTTGAAACGCTGTGAGAATTGCCGAAACGTGACACAGAGACACAAAGCAAACGGTTCCGGGGCACCCGGCGCCAACAGACTTGCTCGATGCAGGGTCGCCACGGACCTTCCCTCTGTAAGAACGCAGGTCTGCGAAGCGCAGTAAAACGAGGTAGGCCCGTACCGTGGGGTTGTGGTGGCTGCCGGTCTCACCCCCGAGTCCAGTCCTGTGTGTGGTGATCTCTGCAGGGAGGGTGGCTTCGCTGGTGTAGTTGGTGTGGAGATGGGAGTCACCTGTTCTGTTAGTTGGTTTTAATGGGACGTTCCAAACCCGTGACGGAAACAGGGCTGCAGCCCGGACAGTGTGCTTCTGTCGCACAGCTGGGCGCGTGTCTCAGCCGGGCTCTGCTCGTGCCCCCAGCTTGCTTTGCGGCCCCTGCCAGACAGTGGGTCATCACGTATCGCGGACACTTCCTGTTTGCATCTCTTGAAGGATAGGGGCTCTTTTGCTGCTGGTATTTTGCACAGCCAGAATACTGTTACTCTACGGCTAAATGCATGTCACAATTGCTTAATATCATCAGATACCCGAACAGAGTGGTGGCAGTATTTGTTTTTAGGGTGCCGTCATTTAAACAGAAAGACCCTGGAGGGTAGACCCCTGGATGGGCAGTGGCAGAACCTTCCCAAGCGGTCTCCAAGCTGGCACGCAGGACACAGCACGCCCTGCATCCTGCTGATGCTGCGGCCCCTCCCGCCACCCTGGCTGGCGGAGCCCCACGGGGCGGGAGGGGGGGTGCCGCTCTGATCCTTGTTCTCCCGTGTTTTGACTTTCAGGCCACTACATCTACCAATTGGATCTTGGAGTCCCAGAATATCAATGAACTCAAGTCGGAAATTAACTCCTTGAAAGGGCTGCTTTTAAATCGGTAGGAGGAGAGAGGGGGTTGGGCTGTGGTTCTGCCCCAGCCTGGGGCCGCCAAGTGGGAGCCCCTGGGGCCTGTCCAGCTGTCACGGGAAGGGATGAGACGAGTCCCCCTGAGGGGCCCCTGTCTGTCCAGCCCCTGATTGAGCCGGGAGACTCAGGGGTTGAGTTTGGGAACCTTGGGAGCTTCTGTTTTCCCTCCCCCAGAGGCACCCCCCCCCCACTCCAAGGGGGACATCCTGGGGTGCCTTGTCAAGACCCGGTCAGGGACAGCTGCAGCCAAAACACGGGACCTGGAGCTGAAGAGAACATCCCCATCCTGAAACAGGGCCTCCAGGAGGGGCCATCGCCTCCTCCTCCCTCCTGAGCCCTGACAGGACCTCTCAGTGGACAGTGTGGTCCCAGAGAAGTTCCTCGCAGAAGGCCAGGGAGTCCTCAGTTGGAAGGATTCTCCGATTCAGGGCAGGGGACAGAAGCAGTGCCTGCCATCCCGCCCCTAGCTTCTTTGGTCTCCTCCTGTCCCGCAGTGACAGCACCTGCCATGAGCCCCGACAGTGGAGGCCGTGTCACCAGTGCAGCCCTGAGTGGAGGGGTGACCAACCTGTGCTGGCTTTAAATCCGCAAGCCCTGTGCCCCAGGAGCCACTCAGTCCCGAGGTGGATACTGGGATGGTTGGCCACCTGGCCCGCAGGGCACTTGGGGTCGGCCTTGCCTGGCTTCTTACTTCTCTGGGGTTTAGTAGGGGCTCTGTGAGGTGGTCCAAAGGTTCGATCACTTGGGGTCAAGGATCGGGGGCTGCAGGGGTCTTGTGGCCCCAACCAGGGGACCCATTTCTCTAAGCCACCTTCTTGTAAGCCCTCTTGGGAGAAAAGAACATGGCCCTAAGAGAGGTGTGACCGAGCTTGGCGACTAGAGGGTTGTCATTAGGAGAAATCTTTTGTGTTTCTGAACCTAGGAGACAAGAGCCTTTGAGGTCAGGGGGACAGAGAGCAGGGAGTTTGGAAACTTTGGAGGCAAGGAAACCACAAACTGCATTTCTGTTAGCATCCACGCTGCCTTTGCTGTACGCACGCCATGCAGTGGGGTCGGGGCAGCGGGGGGAGCTGTCCTGAGACCAGCGCTGGTGGACCGTGGGCAGCCCAGGAGGGAGCGGCCATTGTCCTAAGCCTTTGTCCTCTCGGCTCAGGCAGAGATGGGCCTGCCCGCCCTCGAGCCATTGCCAAGCGGACCTGACCTCCCGGGTCCCTCGTGCAATCGGCTTAGGTCCGGGCTGGCCCAGGGCACTGGCGTTACCCTTCTGGTTGTGAGGTCTCTGAGCCCATAGCCAGCGGCCAGGCCTTCCCACTTCTGCCCAGGTCGGAGATAAGGTAGACGAAGTCGAGGCCACGTGGCTTGGGTCCCCAATTCCCTGGCTCAGCCTCAGTTCCCTGCTGGCCCCTCCACCCCCAGCCCCCTCTCCTAGGGGCTAAGGACTGGGAGGGAGTGGGCTTCGGTTGTGGCAGCCCCTGGGGCCAGCTGTCCAGTACCTGCCAAGAAAGGCAGGCCTGGTCCAGGCAGGGAGGGCCCGGGAGGCACCCTGAGTGAGGCAGGGTGCTCTGAGGGCACTTCTGGCTTCCACTTCTGCTCCAACGTCCAACCAGCCAAGAGGCCTTTTTTCTGGGTGGCAGGGTGGGAGGTGGGCGACCCAGTGCATCCTGCCCCCTGCTCAGCGGCCCTGGGGGAGTGCGTTGGCCGGGGGACGTGTGTGGCTCTGCCGAGCGAGGGCCCCAGGGTACTGGAACCAACCCTGCTTCTTCTCTCCCTCTGTCAGGAGGCAGTTCCCACCATCTCCCTCGGCCCCGAAGATCCCGTCCTGGCAGATCCCGGTCAAGTCCCCGTCCCCCTCCAGCCCCGCTGCTGCCACCCATCACAGCAGCAGTGACATCTCGCCCGTCAGCAACGAGTCCACGTCATCCTCGCCCGTGAAGGAGGGCCACAGCCCCGAGGGCTCCACGGCCACCTACCACCTGCTGGGCCCCCAGGAGGAGGGCCAGGGGGTGGTGGACGTCAAGGGCCAGGTGAGAATGGAGGTGCAGGGCGAGGAGGAGAAGAGGGAGGACGAGGAGGAGGAGGATGAGGACGTGAGCCACGTGGATGAGGAAGACTGCCTGGGGGTGCAGAGGGAGGACCGCCGGGGTGGGGACGGCCAGATCAACGAGCAGGTGGAAAAGCTGCGACGGCCCGAGGGTGCCAGCAATGAGAACGAGCGGGACTAGGCCCCGAGGGCAGCCGGCCTCCGCTGGGCCGCCTGGCCGGGTTCTTCCTCCTCCTCCAGCTCCGGGAGGGCCGCCTTGTGCAGGCGGGGCCGAGCTGTCGCAGCCTCCCGCCTCCGTGGGGCCCCGAGCTCTGTGTGCGGGGACAAGTCTCCGTGCAGCCGGCCTCTCTGTCCTGAACGCCAGCCCCAGCCTGCCGCTTCCTCCGCTCGGCCCCAGCCAGCTGGGCCTCGACCTTGTTCTCACGTCCGGCTGAGGGCGCAAATTTTCCGGGCCCGGGCCCACCTCAGCCCTGTCTCCCAGACGGAGGTCTTGTCCAGGGCGTGTCTGCTGAGCATCTTAGCTAACCTAACACCGTGCATGACAAGAGGTAGTTTAATTACCTGGCTCCCGGTCCTCCGCGGAGGAAGAGCCGCGTTGATGTGGTATCTGCTGACCTGCCCCCCTCCCGTCCTGCCGCGGCTCCTTCACTAGCCTCACAAGGGGCCGGGGGCCGTCTCGTCATGTGTCCAGAAGCCACGGCCCTGTGCTCTTCTCTCTCTCAGCAAGGGCCTCCCGGGGCCCCACAGCCAGCTCTTGTCCAGAGGCTGCGCCCCCACGCGCCGTCCAAGCCCCACCGCGCCCGTCCTTCCAGACAAATGAAATCATTCTGCACTTCTCCCGTCCTCGCTCGCTCGCTGCATTGTGACTCAGCCAACCCCATGGCGAGACGTGGTTCTCACTCCCACGTAGGAGCCAGGCGTCAGGGCCCCCCTGTCTGCCCCCCGCCCCCGAAACACATGTTCATTTGTGTGATCAGGTATAGGTTTCAGAATATAAGATACTACTGTATATAATTGTAATAAATACGAGTTGTCACTATTTAATTCCTGCCTGTGGCTCCCTGTCTGTTCGCGGCATCCGCTGCCTGGGAGTGGGTCTCACCCACGGCTGTGCCGCTGAGCCCGGAGGGGGGCTGGGTGGGTTGCCTGGGCAGCCCTTCCCGTGGGCCCGATGGGTGACAGGCCCTTTCCTGAGGCAGGTTTCGTTAGCCGCTCCCCGACGGCTGGAGGGTTTGGTCCTCGGCTCGGAGTGTGGAAGGGCGACATCCTGATGTGGGAAGGGACCTCATGTTACTGTATATAGACCTGGTGTTGAGCGTGATGAGCTCTCCTTCCTTAAATGGATGAATGTGCTCCCAGGAGAGCGTGTGTCTCGCTCCGTCTTCCTCCCCCGTCTCCCGCTCTCCCTCCCCGTCTCCCTTTAACCTTCACACGGCGTTCAGCTGCACCCAGAAAAACACACGGCGCTCCTTCCGAGGAGCCTCTGCTCCCCCAAGCCGCTGGTGCTGCGTGCGGACAGAGGGCACCGCCACATCCGGCGGCCTTGAGTGGATCCAAGGCAGGGACCAAGTGCAGGGACAGTGGCCGCGGAGGCGGAGCCCTGCAGCCTGGCGTGTGCCCTGTGGGCGAGCGCCTCGCTCCCCGTGGGCCGCCATGCGCCACTGCCCGGCACCCCAAGGAACGAGGTGCTGTTTTGTCTCAGGAAACCGTTCTTCTCCTGCCTAGGCCTCTCTTTGGGGCCGGGAGCCCAATCCCCTTCCCGCTGCCGCAGACCTGGCCCTGTGGCCCAGGGCGCCGTGTGGGTGTCAGGTGACAGTGACTCGACTTCCTGAGAGCCCAGGCCTCCGGCCCGCTCGGGCATCACCTTTTGTTCGTAACCTCCCAGGACGTCCCTGCGGTCCCTTTTCCCACTACATGCTCCCTAGGGCCAAGCGGAACCCTAAGGGACTCCGTGCTGGGGGGCGACGAGCCCGCCCTGGGCCAGGGCTCCCGGTGTCAGGGAGCCAGGCCGATGGGCCAGAGACAGATGAGCAGAGGGTTGGGGGCCTGGTCTGAGCCTTTGGCTCAGATGTGGGATCCGTGGGATGTGGCCGGAGACCGGGCTCCGTGCCCTCTGACAGTGGATGGGAACCCCAGGGCTTCAGTGGGTGCTTCGGGGTTCTCCCCATTCAGCTTGGTGACCATTTGGCATCATCTCTAACTTGGTCCCTCCTGCAATGGCACCGGACGGGGAGAGCAGAGGGCAGGTGGCCTGGGGTGGCACTGGCCGGAGCCATCAGGGTGGGTGCCCTGGAGGGGAGTCCGGGCAGTGCCCCCCCCACCTCCCCATCCAGACAGGACTACCTGAGGCTTCACCATCCCCGGCCAGAGGCAGAGGGGTGTCCGTGGCGGGTCCCTGGGGCCCATGGGCGGGAGATGGGGAAGGAGACCCAGGCCTGGAGGCCTTTTGCCCCGCGGGTCCTGAGCTCCAGTGTCGGCTTTTGAGGACAGAGAGTCTGGCGAGATTTCAGGGAGGAAAAACCCCTCCCCAAAACGGCGTGAGTGCTGCCTAATAAAGGCAGCTGCTGGACGGAGGGAAAACAGCCCTTTGAAAAAAAAAAGCCTTTCATTAGAAAAATAATGCATTTCATCCAAATAAGGTAAAAATATTTGGAATGGGGCAGAAGTGAGCAGCAGGCAGCGCCCGTCAGGCCTTTCTGGAAGGGGGAAGATTATTAAACTCAATTACAATGTAGTTTTGTAAAGCGTCATTTAGGAAAGAACAGGCCCCAGTGCTGGGAGGCTGTGGGACGGCCCTCCTGGCCCCGGGGTCCCCCCCGCCGCCCCCTGTGACTCCCTGGCTCTGCGGGGCCTGGTGTCAGTACTGTCCTCCGAGCAGAGCCCAGAGCAGAGGCCGGGGAGGCTGCTCCCCGACCTGCCCGCCCAGCCTCCTGCACTCCCATGTCCCTGACGTGCCGCCCCACCCCCACCCCGCTCCCCGGTCTGGGAAGGGGAGCTTCCTGGGGGAGGGAAGGGGCTGCTGAGTTTTAAGCGTTCTTTTCTTTTTCATATTGCGGAAGCACATCTCAGATGTTTTAAAACTCCGGTCAGTATAGAGAGGAGCAGAGAGCACACGATCTCCCCTCTACTGTCTGGTTTTGTGGGTGCACCTACAGCCCCCCCAACCCCGCCTCTATTTTAATAAAGATGGGAAGTTCCTTTCACCCTGTCCCGTGACTTGCTTGTCTCACTGCAAGTGAATCCTGTGTCTTTGGGAGCTCACACCAAATGGGAGCAGAGGGTTCCTTAGAAGGCTCTCCTCCCACCCTTGGCCCTTTGCTTGGCCAGGAGCACTGATGTTGGTTCTTGGGTCTGGGTCTGGAACCTCCCTCTCCTCTGGTGACTGCCTGGCCCTGGCCCTGTCCCTGCCCCAGCCCTGCCCCTACCCCTGCCCTGGAACCCAAAGAGGAGGAAGGGCAGGCAGGAGACATTTACTGACGATCTGAACCTCAGGAGTTTACTTAATTCTTAGTGCTTCTTCGCCTGTTTGTTTAAGATGGTTTCTGCCAAGCCACCCAGAAAAGAGGGTCCAGGCAGCAGGTGTGAAAGTGCATGTGAGACCCTGCAGGTGTGGCTCCAGCCTTAGGGGAAATGCCCACCGGGGAGTGGACCTCAGTCTTGCCCCTGCTCCTTTGCCCTGCACAGGTGTTTCGCACCCTGGGATCAGCCAATCCCACTGGGGCAGGTGGGGGGAGCAGCCACAGTGTAGACCCCTTCAGGGTGTGGTGCCGACCTGGGACAGCCGCCCCCTCCTGGGGAGAGCCGGCATAGGTTGACATGCAAGGCCTAGCTGGGGGGTGCTCTCTGTGGCCCCCTTGTGCCCCCCCAGCTTCCATCCCCCACTCCCCACCCCAGCATTGTAGGGGCCTTTCCCCTGAATGACGAACAAGCCTTAGTAGTTACTGAGCACAATGAAGTTCATGCTCTTCTAGAAGAAGAGATAAGATTTTACTATTTCATAAGGAGAATGCCTGAAGCCTTTCCTTGTTCCTGACAAGTCTTGGAAGGATCTGCTTTATGGTGACAGGGCCACGTTTTTAAATACACCCTGGAAACTCCGGTGCCCAGCCCTCTGCACCCCCAGCCCGGCAGTCCTGGGAGAATCGTTTCCAGGCACTAGCAGTTTCCCGGATGCCTTCTAGGTCCAGGGTGCAGCACCCAGGTCTGAGAAGGGCTCTGGCCGGGGCCGAGGGGATCCTTTGGTGGGGAAAAAGCTTTGGTCTTTCTGAAGCCATATGTCACCCTCTGAGGGGCACAGGGTACGGGGCTCGCAGGAGCAGCTGGGTCAGGCTGCTCATCACCATCTGCCTCCCGTGCTGGCTGCGGGCCTCCTGGGAGCTGCTTCCTGTCTGGCCTGCCGGAGAGGGTGGGGCGGCTCCTCCCTGCGAGGGTGGCACAGGCCCGGTCCCACAAGGTCCCCAGGGTTCCGGCCCGTCTGAAGGGCCCGACTGTCCACCTTGCTCCCCGGACGCCTCTTCGCCTGCCACCTGCTGTGCCCTGGCCACGGGCCAAGCCAGCCTGTGGGGCCGGGGCCGCCTCACGAAGGCTGGTGCGCGAGCTGCCATCGCCCAAGTTGACAGGGCGGGCTGGCCACGTGGCCTAGGGAGGGGGCTGGCCTGTCGCCATGGGTCCAGGCGGGAGGGGGCACGGCCGCTCATGAGTGCCGAGGCCCGACTCCCATGTATGACTCAGCGGCTGGTAGCACCCAAGCCGGGCCAGGTCTGTGGGAGGTGGGCAGGCCACTGAGCTCAGCGTGAGCCTGTGCAGCTGGTTCTGGCTCTTTCCAAGAGGTTACAAAACTCTTGAATTTGCCCCAGTTTGGGTGTAGGAGCATCACAGCACCACAGCCAATTAAATCCAAGAAGGAAAACACGTTTTACTGCATTTCCTACCGAGTCCAACAAGCCACAGGGAGTGCGGTGGGGGCCCAGGCCCACTCGGCGCCCCTGGGGTGCGTGCCCCTGCAGCTGCAAGCCTCACCGCCCACTTGGGGGCGGGGACACAGTCTCATCGCGGGCGACGTGGCCACTCCTCTCTGCCCTCCTGTGGGGCGGTGCCCGGGACTCAGGGCAGTGAGCTGGCCTGGTGCAGCGTCCTGATGGGTCACAGGTCCTTGTCCCCCTGAGGCTCTTTGGAGGGATC